GTTCACCAGCTGAGGAATTTGATCGGGGCATTAATCTAGATGCTAATCTTTATCCAACTTTGTCCAATAATTGGCAATGGGATAGTCCTCATGGCAAACGTCTCACATCTGAAGAGGAACATCCTCAATACCCTAGCCTTGCTGAGCCTTTTGTCCGTGATCTTGAATCAGTTGACCCCGGGCCTGAAGGCAAATATGGTACCCTTGACAAGGAAAATTCCCAGTACCATCGTCTTGTTGAGCCGTTTGTTACTGATCTTGCATCAGTCGACCTTGAGCCTGATCCTGTTGTTGACCTCAAGACCAAACACGGACATGGTACCCTTGATCTCTCATCAGTCGACCTTGAGCCCAATCCTCTTGCCAAGTATCCTTGTCTTGTTGAGTCGGTTGCTACTGATCTTGCATCAGTTGACCTTGAGCCCAATCCTCTTGCCTACCAAGCTTGTCTGGCATCTTTGGCAACACTTCCTTGCAAGACATCTCTTTGCACTGCAAAGTTAGAAGCTGCTGGTTCCAACAATTAGCCTCCTGCGCAACCACCTCCATCCCCCCAACATCCTGTCAATTTACATGAGATGTCGACTACTACCGATTTTCTCTCATAGTTCCAGCACTCAAGCATGGGGAGGACTGAAGATGCAGATACCCTGACTTCTGTAACAAGTGAAGAGACCAAATCAGACAAGTTGGCTCTGGTCCCAGCAACCAAGAGGTCAAAAATTACGATATATCCATAGATGGAGTTGATGTTGATGAATGGGCCAAGTCTGTACCGGATGATGGGTCTGCAGGTGAACAAAGTCCTTTTGATAGAGTGGACATCCTCACTAAAAGGAATACAACAGTCACTACTCTGAAGGATTCTCCTGCCTTAGATGATGCTATTGGTTTCTTTGAGACTTATCACTGTGTCATGCCAACAAATGGTCTGTACAAACTACATCCTGGACAAGCTTCTGATCTTGATTGGTTGGAATGTAACATGGCTGGTCTATTTGATTTAGATCCTGCCCATGTGCCACAACTTGGACCACCAGATTTTGAAGCTTACAAGTCAGGCAGACAACCATCTGTTCTATTTGTTCATGAAACGCCTATCAACTTTGTCATTGAGTCTACTCCACTGCGAGACAAACCCATAGACTTGGCTTACAAGTTGTCACCCTCTGGACCTCGACGCAGCCCACGCTGCAAAACACATTCTGAGGATGGAAGGTGGAACTCAAAGGACAAATCTGTAGATCCAGGCCCACCGTCTCATGATCCAAATGCTCATGATCCTGTCCTGACAATGGAACCAATGTATAAGAACTTGAGCTCTGCAATGACATCGCATGAACGCAACTGGGAATGCCCGTGCACATACTTTGAGTGGTTGCCCAAGCTAGATATCCAGAAATTATTTCTGTGGACTATTGTCTATCTAGCTAGATCTCCTGTGGAGGCCCACCATGAACACAAATATCATCTCTTGGCGTCATCCCTAGAGTCTATTTGTTACATGTTAGGCACAGTAGGCAACATGGAACATCCTGGTTGCCACATGACCTACCAATTTCTGTTTCTAGAAAGGAACAATTTTTTGTTTCCTTCAGAAATCTGCTCTGCTCGATCACCTACCAAGCTACACAAACGTCTTGATCTACCTGATGGGGAGGAACTCACGCTCCGTACAATAATCACCTCAATTGATCTATCTGATGGGGAGGAGTTGGCACCCCCTACAAAAATCAAATCCAGTGACAATCAGACCATTAAGACCGTTGTTTAGTCTAGTGAGGATGAATCAGATATAGAAAACGTTCTGCTAGGAAATTGGGACCTCATCGGACAAACTTTCCTTCTTCCACCAGATGAAAGTTATGTTCGACGTGCTAAGATTGTTGAGCTTAACTACAAGGACAACCGCAACAAGGACATTGAGCCTGCACATATTCAACTATGCCTGAACATTGACAAAGGTGAATATGAACGTGTCATGGCTTACCGTAACATCCACAAGTGGCCAGAAATTGACTCAGACACCCCCATTGTTTGGAAGCTCAAGCAAATTGTATGACTTGAACACCCTTCTTACCTGGGTCTGACCTTTTGTATGGCCATTGGATGGAAACATGGGGAGAATACCCCAGAAGCACTGAGCATCACTGGAGCCGATGACTCAGTGACCTACATTATACATGCCAGAAATCACAACCTGTTGGAAAGTCAAGGTTGTGAACCTCTTGGAAATATAGTGAAGGACAAGAGGAAATTCCTTTGTCCAACCAATCAAGTCAAGCTGAGATTGCTACATACTACTACACCAAAGTATATGTACTACTACAAGATCCAGAAGGAGCACAATGGTGTCCTTCAACTTGACAAACCCCATGGCAACACCAACTGGAAACATGCCACCAAAGTCAAGATAGATCTGCTTGCAAGGTACAAGGTCCTTGTGGATATGGGGAGAGGAATCCCAACACCAAAAGATCACCAAAAGTTCCAAGTCCGACATTTCAATGCCCTTAAACATTGTGACAAACACAAGCCCAGACTCCTACCTTATGGTGACTTTACCTACATACCGCCAAACAAAACAAAACCCTACTGTCTATTGACAGACCAATCGGTTCCGGGTATAATCTGTCATATGATGAATGGAACCTCAATCAATTTCTTATCTAAGGAGCAGTCAACTGATGAGACTGCAACTTATGGTTCTGAGTTTGTAGCCACTCAAACCTGTGTCAAACAGATCATGGATCTCCAACAAACCTTGAGGTACCTTGGTGTGTCGATCAGAGGTCAAAGCTACAGGTCTGGTGACAATGAATCTATCATGAACAGTTCGTCCGTCCCAACCTGAAGCTAAGCTACACAATCCACATGTTGCATTGTCATTCCACCGTGTGAAAGAAGCAGTGGCAGCTAACATGCTATCTTTTATCCACATTGACAGTGCTCTCAACCCTGCTGATATTCTCAGCAAATATTGGGGTCATCAGCAAATCTGGACACTTCTACCAACTCTAATGTTCTGGTCTGGAGATACTGCTGATCAAGAGGACTAGGTCCTCACTTTGTCCCATTTGGGAAGTGACAGAATTCTAACAGGAACGGGACTTGTGACTCGACCTATAGGATTCCCATTAATTTGGCGCAGAGAACACCATTAATTTGGCGCAGAGAATGCTGAGTCATCAGCATTCTGCGATAATTCTAGAGATTTGCGCAGAAAAGTGATGGATCATCGCTTTTCTCACTGCATGCTTTTTACTTGAATTGATAACGATCAACTTGTAGAAACTGGTCAACTATAGGCTTATAGTCTATATTCATTTGTTTCTGTCAGACGGAGTCCATGCATAAGCTCAACATTACAAATGGTGGTGTTTGTACAACCACTGTCCATGATGACATGATCGTACAACCCAAATTTGATCTCTTTCCTTTCTGCTGTTTTGAATAAACTGCAGACCTCGATCTGCTTCAGTAGCAAGATCTGGCAAATCTCCATCTTCACTAGCATAGTGCCAGTCGGCTTGAAGTTCAACATTTGTCGTACCAGCAGGATATGGAATAAGATAGACAACATTGTCATTCTCATCCTTTCCCTTGATAGCATCGTGAAAGACATTTGACGTATCAAAATATCTAGTTTTCACAGCTTGCAAAGTTTGAGCTTGAGTTGCATCGAATCCTTGGCGCACTTGAGCACCACTGAAGCCTTGTCAGCTGAGTTGCATTCCACTGAACGCAATCTCACCGTTAGCATTCATAGAATAAGGGACAGTAACAGTGGTGCCACCTTGAGTTGGAATCTGCATGAGCTGCATTCCAGAAGGAACTGCCATCATTTGATTACCTGTAGTACCAGCAAGTCGCAAAGGTGTGTTAACGCTTCCCACAACACTTGATGCTCCACTTGTGGATGCTGAAGCTCCAGGAACTATAGCTGGGACAGTTGTTCCAATCTGATTAAGATTGAGCTTCTTCCCATAGTCAACATATTGATCCTGATTCTTCCATTGGGTCTTTGGTAGCAGTCTGTCTGGGCATTTTGGAGACATATGGTCTTTGTTGCCACATACATAACATGCTGCCTTCTTTCCATCCTTTGGTTTCCCCTTTCCTTTTCCTTTACCTTTACCTTTACCTTTACCTTTATTAGGTTGGTCTTTTCCTTGGTAGAGGTTCACTCCCGGATTTTTAATCACCTCCATGTGAATCTTCAACATATCTTGTGCTTGTCTTTGGATAATAATCCACTTCTCTGCAATAGTTTGTCTGAAGATCCAGCATCAGAGGAGCTGTTCTCGTTGGATCGCAGTTGCACAGAAATCCTGTTGCAAGAACGGCTTAAAAGATATTATCCTTGAACTTGCTTTGAGCAGCTAGCAATAGCAGCATATTCTTTTGCCTTGACTGCAAAATCTTGGAACCAGGCGACGCCATATAGATCTTGCAGGACTTCAGCCTGTCTCAAGAATCGTTCCTTGAAATGCATCAAGTTTTCTGTTGTTCCTTGCTTCATAGCAAAGAACTTTTGATTCGCTCCCCAGAAATCCAAGAAATCATACTCAGCATCAGCAATCTTCTTCATGAATCGTTCAATACGTTTCAAGAGCTCGATTGGATCTTCAAGAATAGTCGTGAAATCGGCTTCACCTCGAAGCTTGATATCCATCGCCTTTGTCACAAACTTCAGCATGATGTTTGATTTGACGGTTTAGGCTGATCTTCCCATGTTCTTGTCGAGCTTTGCAGGAGAGAGAATCTTGTTTTGGGCCATCTCTGTTTCTCTTGCAACAGCTTCAGTTTGAGTTGGAGCGTTCAATCTTGGAGCGATCGCATTGAAGTCGATTGACTTTCCATCTCGAATTGATTTCACCAAGTCTTCGCAAAATTTCATTCCAGAAGCTTGGATGTAGTCAATCAACCTTTCCTCGGCATCTTCGTATGACGATCTTGCCTTTCCATTGTTTTCATCTTTTGTTGAAAATAGATGTTTCACAACTATTGAACTTGAGTTGCTCTTGACTTTCTGAGGAGTCACACGTCCTCTTCCACCACCGGATGAAGAATGTCCCATTGTCAACAAATCACTCACTCCTTTGTAGATAAGGCAGTGCTGTTCTTGACGTAAATTTGTTTTGTTGCCTTTTGTGATTGAATGTTAGAATAAAGCAAAATGTGCTCTATCGTGAGTGCCTTTAGCGCTCAGAACAAACTCTCTGCAATCCATATTTGTAATTGACTGTACAACACTTTCACAACAATAGTTCTCCTGTGTCTAGGTATACTTTGAGTGAAATTGTTCCTATTTGATTAATATTTGGCTTGAATTGATGATTCAATCACAAAAGTAAGTTCAACGATTTTCCCTTGGAAAATCCCTTGTTTACAGAACTTGATTTGACTTCTACGACAAATCTGTGTTGAATGCAGTACTTTGGGACATCTTGTATTATTCCCTACTGCATTGTACACAACATCGATATCTCACTTGTATAGGGTCATTCCCTTTTTCTGTGGATGTAGATTGTCCGACAGGCTTGTGTCTGGCATACTTGCGTCAAATCCCGACATCACGATCAAAGTCTGATCGTACGTGTCAAAAACATTGTACTTGAATAGTTTCTTTTTGGAACATAAAAACTCATATTTTGTCATATCCCAACATATACATACTTGTCTGACCTATTCCTGTGGACCAAGAATCAGATCCCTGAACTTGCAAAACTTCTCACCTTGCAATGGCTTAGTCATGAAATCCGCAATCATATTGTCAGTTGGACAGTATTCGATCTTCACATTTCCTTTCTCAACTTGATCTGTGATAAAGAAATAACGAATATTGATAGCTCGGCTTCTTTTTGCCTGTGCTCTTGCGACCATTCTCTTCCAGTAGAATCGCGCTTTTGGCTGGTGGCTACTACGCATTTGGTGAATTTGTTGAATTTGTTGAATCAGACCACAGGGCACTATGGATTGATATCGACTTGAACATGGCTTTGGGCAATTTCACACCCCAGGGGTCTACCTTTAAACCTCGGAAGCTCACCCTTTTGGATAAGCGGTCGGTCAAACGCTATCTTCAACTGGTTCACTGGGGATACGAGGAGTATGGCATCCCGTCCCGTCTCACCAAGCTCAATCAGCGCATTGAATCCAATGGACGACAAATGTCACCCTCACTGGCACGCAAATATAACTGCCTTCACCGGCAGATGTATGTGATACGGCGGCAGGCTGAAGACAATTGTTGCACTACCTCCTCTGGCAAGGTTCCTTGGTCTCCCAAATTGCAGGGCTTCTGGGATCGGTTGAGTCTCTGGAAGCTACTCCTAAAAGGATGCAAGCGATGTCATGTGAGCTCCGGAAAGGTCCGGCGCCTGATGAAGAAGACAAGGCTGTGCACTGTGTGGAAGAAGACAACTGCCGAACTGGACGTGGCATTGGCAGCTGAACGAAGGGCATACAAGCAAGCCAAACGTCAGGCAACCCAATTGAGACGGGACTTTCTTACGGTGCAGACAACGGATGCAAAGAAGAAGAAATGGAAATCTCAGAAGGCCCACGATAGATTCCTTTGGTTACGACGAATGAAACAACGAGAGGAGGCAAGACGCCGTCGTCGCGCCCAACAAAAAGGATCTACAGGGGGTTTACGGGCTATTCAGATGGAAGAACAATTACCAGATGGCACTCCGCAGCTGCGTACTATCACCGACCGTGCTCTGGTTGAAGAAGGTTGTATGCAAGAAAATGCGGCACGGTACGACCAGACGCGTGCTCCATATATCACTCCACCTATGGCGGAACCCTTGTATACAGCATTCACCAGCGCTCAGGCTGAAGCTAATTCCATTGCACTATTGGAAGGCCGCTACTCCCTGCCCGACCTTCTCGACCCCGCCACTACGGCCTTCCTTTCACATTGCCGTTTTCACAAGGATCATGTACCTGTGCACCTTGAGGTGACTACCTCTGACCATGTGTACTTCTGGTCCCGAAATCCGGAGGACAAAGGCTCAGAACCTCATGGCTTGCACAACGGAAACTTCAAGGCAGCGGCCCAGTCACCAGTTATTGCCTCTTGTGATGCCCTTTTTCGCAATATTCCTTTGGCAACGGGATTTGTCCCCTCAAATTGGCGACACTTGATGAATTTTGCAATTGAGAAAAAGGCAGGCGACTTCCGGCTGTCAAAAATGCGTACTATTCAATTAATGAATTCGGAGGCACAGGCGAACAACAAAAAATCGGGTCGGGCGGCCATGCGATATGCCGAGGAACACTCCTTGATTCCGGATGGTCAGTGCGGTTCTCGGAACACCAGGCCATTGATCTGGCCCTGTCCAAACGTCTGGTCTATGGTGTCGCTCCAGGTAAGGTTGATTGTGATATGCTGTGATTGTTGACCATGTCTTGATGTGGTGTGCATTCAACCAACATTACGCAGTCCTCGTTGCTTAATTACTACAGACTCATCAAGTTGTCGTTGCTTGATTATTACAGAATTATGAAGCCATCTCTGAGAACAATCCATCCAGCAGAAGTCAAATGGTGTTGCTCAACAACGTAAGTTTGATTGTTGGATGCTTCCATTGTGCATCATGTTGATGAAACAAGTCGCTCATGCCTTGATATGGTTTGCATTCAACCAATAATAAAGTGGCGACGTCACTTGATTACTACAGACTTATCAGGCCATCTCTGGGGCAAATCCATCAAATAGAAGAGAAATGGCGTCGCTCTAGGTGTGCTTAATTGTTGTATGTTGCGTTTGTCATCGAGGATGGTCACAGTGGTCTCCACTAAATCGGGTTTGTCTTGGGGATCTGGTCTGAACTTGAAGGGGTTGATTGGATGGGGCAAGGAGATATTCTCACCGTTGGGACCCGTCACATGTGGATCATCCACTTCAAAATTAATAGTTGGCAATGTAATATCATTAGGAAGATAGTTAGCCCCATACTGGGATCCTACATCAAGATCCATTACAAAGGACCCATTTGGATTGTTCCTCGCTTCTGACTCTATGGAAAGTTCTGCCAATTCCTCCTTGTGGTCATCATCATACTCAAAGTTGACAGATTCTCCATTATCTTCTGTTTGAAAACTAGGATCCAAATTGTCGTTGAGATGGGAGTGGATGTAATTCCTCAGCCCTTCCTGAGATACTTGAGGTGGAAGTTTAGACGGGCGTGTCTGGCTCTTGATTTGTTGGTTGCTAAGCTTGCTTTCTGGAGCAGAATAATGGGCAAAAGAGTCTTTGACACAAACTCCTGAAAATCAGCCAACAGAGTGGCTTCACAAAGCATTCCAAATGACCCCTTCTTCTTTTCTGTCTTGTTCTTTTCTTCTTCCATGGCAGCAGTGTCTTCTTCTGATCCACTGTCAGGTTCGAAGCCTGGCATAATATCAGTAGGGCTAGTGATATCGCTTACAGAGGCCCCAGCTCAAAGGAGATTGGAATGGTGATTAGCTTGGAACACACCAGAGTCTTTAAAGTCAATCTCATCAACAGACTAAGCCCTGGCAAAGCTGGGGTCCTTCCTAAAACCTGGTTTTGCAGTTGACCTAAGATGTTGTGAAAGACCTGATGAAGTAAGCTTCTTTGTTGCTATATTGCCCCTTGAAGTTTCTTTTACAGCATAGACACTGTAGAGGAACATCTCTGTACTTGCGCCTTTTGCTTTGTGGTTCAGTATTGTTGCTTGCCATGACAAAAAAGTGCCATAAGTAGGAGTGCGGGGAGTGATAAAATGCTGATCAATAGCCTTTTTGTCCATGGATTGTGAAAAAAGGACATCATGTTGGGATGTGCAGGACAACGATGACCTTTTGGAAGAAAAGGACCTGACAACCAAT